CCACACTTGAAAATTAGAAGGAAATGTATGAGAGATGTAGGAAGGAAACACAAATTAAAAGCGTTGAATAAATCCTGGTTTAGGGTTAAATTGCGTAGGTTATAGGAGCGTGTTTTTTTTTTTTTTTCATAATTTGAAAAAATAAAGGTCATCTAAGATGGTGTAAAACAATAAAAATAATGAAACCTAAGATGGTGTTTAATCCTCCCCTAGGGAAAATGATTTCAAGATAAAATGAATATTCAAAAAACGTCCATTTTAGAATAAAAGGAAAAAATTGTCGTGATCAGGATTCGAACCTGGGTTATTGCGGTCACTCACACGTCCACACCCCTAACTCTCACCCTAAGCCCAATTCATCCCTAAATAGAAGTCGAAGAGAAGATAAATACAATCAAACCGTTCCTGGATGCTCCGTTTAAACACAAAATAAAAGCGGTAAAAGAGAGGCAACATAGCAAGTACCTATATACAAGCACGTTTTACACAAAACCTCGACATCTATATGTGATAAAGCGATTGGAAGAGTACAAGGAACATAATCCAAAGACTTATTTAGCTCATATGATATGGACTTCCTTTACATGTGACGAAACATGACTAAAACGTGGAAACATTGCCACGGTCGCTACGCGACCGCATTCCGGACGCGCGCGCAGCAGCAGGAAAGAGGAAGAGAAGGAAAGAGTGTACATAGAGTGATATAGTATCACTGTAATAAACTGTTTTGAACTGTCACATTTGTTAGTGGTAATGTCTTACCGCGAGTGTATGAGTCCCACGAACTGAGTAAAGTTGAGGAATAAAATGACTAGAACGAGTGAGTAAATGTGAAGAATAAATTATATTACTTGAAGAAAGAGGAGGGGGAGGAAGAGGAAGAAGAGAAGGAAAGAGGAAGAGGAATGAGGAGGAGGAGGAGGAAGGAGGAGGAAAGAGGAGGAGGAATGAGGATGAGGAATGAGGAAGAGGAGGAGGAATGAGGAGGAAGAGGAAAGAAGAGGAGGAATGAGGAGGATGAATGAGGAGGAGGAATGAGGAGGATAAATGAGGAGGAGGAATGAGGAAGAGGAGGAGGAATGAGGAAGAGGAGGAGGAATGAGGAGGAAGAAGAAAGAGGAGGAGGAATGAGCATGATGAGGAAAGAAGAGGAGGAGGAAGAAGAATAGAAAATATGCGATCCCACATGAACGAGATGGACAGTTCCGTTTCGTATATAAGAAAAATAAACATTTGGTTCTATATGAGCGCGCACCTTGAGTTATTATAATTAATATTTCAAAGTGCGCGTTCTTTTAAAGTTTGTTAGACATAACGGAGAAGGATGTATACAATATGATAAAACTCGAAGTGTCTACTTCCACACTCATTTCTTACCTGCTCACGCAGAGTGTGGACGATGGCGAGTACTCAGGATCTTTCCGCGGTTCTAAAGTCGTATCGACAAAAAATGCATGCTGTTCATGCTCGCGTAAAGTATCAGGAAAATGTGTTGAAGGAATATAAAAAACATGCTGAGAATGGAACGATCCCCAAAAGATTGAAATCAATGAAAAGTTACCCTAAGATGCAAAGTCCTAAA